TTAGGTAAAATTGTCCCACAGCAGTTAGATGTCTGGCCAAATTCTTTCCTTCTCTTTTCCCTCATCTGTCCTCTCCGTCTCCAGATGTTTGACTTCCTAAGCTTTAGTGCTGTTTCATGTTGTCACTACAGGGGACATTATGGCTGATCATTAGTGAGGATAAATAATGAGCCCCGCTGAGAGAACAAAGATGGAAAAGAATGATGGTGTCGAGAAACAGGAAGAGCACTTTAAGCCTGAGATACAGGAAGCATGCTCTCATACATTTCAATGCTCCATGTATGTAAACAAAAAACCCCAAAAAACAACAACCACAGTCTTGGAACAGGCAGTCTATCACAGACTAACATGGCCATTTACAGACAAGGGAAACAAAGGATTCAGTAATGTATCAGCTCATAATAAAAAAGATAATTAAATAAACATAAAACTCTGCTTTACCAAAGAAAGACCCTACCTTGATGAGTAATTTTATAGCTTTTGATTACTCAACTTCTGTAATGGGGAGTGGGGAGAGGCTTATGTATGTTATCTGCCTTTGATAAATGTTTAAGCTACTTTATCTCCACACATGCAGCGTCTGCACCACTCTACCAGTCTATAACCCATCCACTGACACATGATGTGGTTAGAATACACGCTGTATTCAGAGCTCACAAGTCTTAATTCTAGTCAATGATTCAATAGTCTTGGAGACAATTTTCTTTCTGAAGTGCCTGATGATTCACTAAAGTGTGGCGAGAGCATTTCATTTTGGCAGCAGAAGAGTGAATAAAACATTGTGCTTTGTGCTTTTAATGGGAAACACAGGGAGAATCATAAAAGGAAACACACATTTCCTGTAGGACTGGTGTGTGACGTACATTGGTGTGTGTAATGGACTCAGTCTGGCCTTAACAGGCAGGAATGTGACATCAGCATCAGTACCCGGCATGACAGATAAACCGCAGCCGACACACACGCACTCGCACACATCACAGCCACAATACGATGTGGCTAAGGGTCACTGAAAAAGTAACAGAGGAAGGGAAGGACATCCCTTCCTTTTACTCATTTAGCTGTGCCACCCACTTTGCCATGCCTCACATACCATCCTTCAAAGATTTTATGGATCACAGTAGTGTTGTTTTTTGTCCCTGTAAATGTGAAGGGGAAAAGCAGTACCACAAAAAACCCAAAAAAAGCAATCCTGACAGGAAATCACTTCTATTTCAAAAGTCAACATGGTGTAAAACTGTGAGCATCACATACATTGACATACTACCTCGCAAAGCTAATATTTGCTTTTCGGCACTCATATTTCTCCATGTGCAAAGTGAATAAAACAGCCTGAAGCTCTCAGAAGGAGACATGTTTGTGTAAGTGTGTACGTGGAGGTCGAGGAATGGAAAAAACTGGAAAAACTCTCAGTAGTATTTCGTGAATGCTGAAAGACACAGTCGATCTGGATAACTGAGCAAGGTTTAAGTACTCATAGTGCCCAGAGGCCAATGGCACACATGTCATTCTATCAAATAAAGAGGGCCTATTAGCTGTTCAAACCTTTTATGTTTAAAGAATGAATATGTTTCAAGTCTTTCAAGTCTTCAAGTCTGTACTGTTTAATCATATAGCGATAAACTCGTGACGTTTATCATTATATATACTGTTTATATTTTGTACATACAGTAGTACGGCATTTTATAAACAGGAAGTTGGAAAGCAGGGAGTCCCACCCCAGCCCAGACTGTGGCCTGTCACACACATGTAACTAATGCACTAATGACTTCACAGCCCAAGCCTTTGACTTAAAAAAATAAGAAAACTATGCACACCTTTCTTGCACATAATGTGACATGCTTGACAAGTTTTAACAATGATGTGAGTCTCTCATTCACGTCATAAGTTGTCTTTATCTGAGGCTCTCAGTCAGGTCGTATTGTACTCTGTCTAAACGGCAGATAACAACAAGTATTTAATCTAAAATACTTCTGTGCATTTAAACGGGAACCCTAAACTGACCCGGAAGACCATTAGGTGGCTTATGTTGGGACCTTGTGTAGAAATGTCCTACTTAACGTGCCAAAATATTGAGCATTTTGTATGTGAAGTATACCACATAACTCCTGGTACAGCAGTTATGATAACCAGCCAACTCAGCAGGGGGCTTGGAGTTCTTTCTTTAGTGCGTGTCATGTGATATGATAAGGAACTCGTGCACTTTAGACTGCAGACACTGTTTATTTAATGAAATTATTTTAAAAGGTGTAAAACATTTGAGGAACTCACTCAAGAGTGTCTAAAATATTTCCGGTTAGATCTGCGGGGTAAAGGCGACCAGGGTTTATTCTGAAGGTCCTCTTTGTAAAGAACAGATTGTACCTTCCTGTCAAGCAGTCGGTCTACTTTATTTCACAGGCTTGCAGTGTCTGCCAAGATCATGAATGCAGTTCCTGCATGTTTTTCCCATTTTTCAGAGATGGAAACATTTAATTCCACTAGGATCTGTCTCACCTGGCCTGGGATCTGCCTATGATGTGTGCTGTGGTGTCATAAATCATTTGATAGCCAAAACACAAAAACATAATTCCATACAAGAGCTTTTGAAAAACAGCAGCTGAAAAGTAGAGATAATAACACTGTAAGGTTTCAGACACTGTTCTGACGGCCAGTGGTGTGGGTCCAGTCTTTGCTAACACACATAACAATTACTGGGGGTGAAGAAGATGTGATGCATTGTGCCTTATTTCCTATCCTAATGAAGTGACAATCCACAATCAAGTTTAGCTTTCTGAAATGATACTTAGCTTATATCAACTCATTTGCAAAGAGTCTACAAAAAACAAACAGATAATTTAAGAATAGTAGTAGAAGAAGAAGAAGAAGAAGAGATATTTGAGTCAGCTCAGATCTGAGCCGTCATGTTATGACTTTATCTGGCTGCTCATGTGATTTTACATATTGATTGTTTTAACCCTCTTTTAAGATCTATTCTTAAAAGAGGTCTATTCCTGGCAGACTGAATAGATCCGGTGTTGTGCTCAGGCAGCAGAGCCAGATGTCCACCTATATGAAAGAGGAAGCTCTGATCACTGTGTGTTCTCTAGGGTAAAAAGGCATTTATTTGGTTATAGATTAGAAAGTGTTGGATGAGTGTAGTTTATACTATAAAGTGCTTTGATTGGTAGCGGTAGAAGGAAGATCATAGGATTTTTCAAACCTGGCATCCAGGACGAGCAATTCAGCTTCCATCCTGTCCTTGAAACAATGGACTAGCCCCCCTTGAGGGACTTCAGGAAGAGAGTCTGCTTATTTATTCAGCCACAGGGCAAAGCTTTTGATTTACATACTAACTGTCACTTATGGTTTCAAGGTTTGAAAGGGGACCGAAAGGATGATGCTGTATATACTCTGACAACAGGTTTACAAGAGATGGCAAAGGCAATTTATCTGGCTTAAGAGTAACTAGAAAATGTGGTTAGAGGGGAAGTCGTCACGAATAACTTGCTTATGCAGTTGCTACCACAAACACAAACTTTGGACACACAAACTTTAAAAAAAATAAAAATAAAATCAGACAGACATTTTGCAAACGCTAAGAAATGAAAGTTTCATATTGTTGTTATTGTAGTAAATAAATATATTAGATGTTTCCAGAAAGATATGATACAAATATTGTAAATGTCTCCCTCTCTAGTATTTACATACGACCAGTGTTGGGGAGTAACGGAATACATGTACCGCCTTTACGTATTTAAAATACAAAATGTGAGTAACTGTATTCCGTTACAGTTACCGTTTAAAAAGGTGGTATTTAGAATACAGTTACTTTGTTGAAATAAATGGATTACAC